AAACACACACAAATACACTTAAATATATACACTTACACACACACAAATACACAATTACACGGCCAAACACACACACAGACACAGTCTCACACATGCTTGGCCTTCTCAATAATTAATATATTTTAACAGGAATCAGGTTGGCTATAAAGATATCAGAGACGAAAGCATTCAAGTCTATCGGAGCAAAGATGAATCCCAATAACTGGAACGTGCCCGGATGCACTCAGTACGGCAAAGGTAATGCTGCAATCTATTGTGAATCTTATTATTACATAGTATCACAGCCGATTTCGCAACACACGATACGATAGTATTGTTTCACTACATCATACGCAATGTCTGATTTTGTTCACCTGTTCAGTGCTCACACTTCTTTGTCATTCTGACATCGCTAATAAAAAATGGAGAAGCATTGAACACGTGAAAATAGAGAACCGTGAAAGTTTTAAAAGCCCCTTAATAGCTTTAACATCTCATATATCGTGGGCATCACACGCAGGGGATAAATACCTGGAGTGTGTTGCGCGCAGTATATCCACGACTCTTTACCATGCAACGGGAACCTGTAAGATGGGCGCCAGCACCGATCCGTCTGCCGTCGTTGATCCCCAGCTGAGGTTAGTTGGGAAACATATATGGAAATTCTACGCAGGCATTATCCCTGCTTCCGAGGGCGTACCAAGACATTTTCAGTTCAATCTATGGTTACCATGTGACTCGTGCCAGTGTATGACCCATCCGCCCGTGTGTTTCAGGGTTCGTGGAGTAGAAGGACTGAGGGTCGTGGACGCCTCCATCATGCCGGAGATCATAGCGGGAGGCCCACATGCGCCTGTCATCATGATCGCTGAGAAGGCTGCCGACATGATACGTGGCGCGAAGAACTGATGTGAAACATTTTCCTTTGAAAACGAGTAGTATTTGAATGCGATATAAAAGCGTCTAGACTAACTATGTACATACGGGTAGTTATGACAGGTGTCATCCTTTTAGTGACTTCACTGCACATGTGAATTGTAAATGTATTATTGTTGGATAGATGTAGCAGATAGGAGACCGTGTAGAATAATTGTGTTATTTGTAGAATTTGCGCAACACGCATTTTTGCGATGTTATCATACATCACATCGACACTATCATATCATAAAATACTTTGGTAATAATAAAACGTTTAAATAATGAACCGCTGGAGTTTGACATTAACATTGTTCGTCTAACACGGTATGTTCTTTAATGTGATTCCATACCGATACTTATACTTCACGAACATACTTCCCATTAGTTTTGACAATTTTATCAGTAGAACAGACGCGACACGACAAGTGCGCGAATCTAGCGTTTGACATCAATAGTACGTTGAGCTGTAGATGTGATAAACGATGGCACACGGAAGTGTTACGACAACTTTATCTCTTCGGCTGCCAATATCATCATACTCCTATTATCTATATATATATTATACACTCCTGGAATTATCACAGATATCTATGTCTCGGGCCTTGAATGTAGTAGACAAAGGCATTAGACGAGAATATTAAAAGTAGCAAAGGCTAAGGATAACGTGCAAGAACTAATGTTTGTGGATCAGCCGTGCCGAGTAGGTGTTAGGAACACACATAAGTTCTAACATGACTCATATAAAATAAATCTGGCTATCATCTATCGCGAATTACTAATGAAAGCATTTTACGTATTGTTTCACATATGATAAACCAAACAAATATCAAATAATGAGTTTATGTAAAGCACATAGAGGAACAGTATATCCATTCTTATCTAGTGCATGTAAATATTATCAAAGGCTTTTCACGATAGTCCAGTTATTTGGCAATGCCCTTCAGATATAGGCACCTTTGGCCCAGCCTGTCGGGGATGCATTTGTGCATGTAAACACTCCAAAACCAACTCTTCCTACGAAGAGTTCCGATGTTGCTAGAGCTCGGTAAGGGAGGGCTCGTCGGCGCATTTTGTATAAGAAACGGTTATTAGCATTATGGACAAGGCACTGGTTCCCCTGGTCGTGCTGGTTGCAGCAGTGTTGTACATGAGAAGCGGGCAGAACGTCACATACAGCGTAGAGGATCCCGACGATGTCTACGATTTATATTTATCGGGGTGGCAGAACAGATATACATACAAGCTGAATATAGTAATATAGGCCCCGGGCCACACCTAAGATCTGCTATACTTTTCACATCAACATTCGTGCCCGGTAACTGACATCAGATGAGGATAACGTGCCGCCGGTTTACCTACTTGCGGTCGGGTGTAAAGTTGCTGCGTCAACAATCATAGATCAATAATAACATACAGTGCATCTAGGATGTTAGCGCTTACCCTAGTTAATTGTTACGCGTGCGTGTCTGGTCTCTGTTTGCCTTTCTGCTCGCCTCGACCTTGCCTCTGCGCGCGGGCGCTGGAGGCTGTGGCGAGGACGGGGGCAGCCGACATCGACAAAACACTGGCCTTGGCTCGCCTTGTCCGGTGTGCGGGAGAGCGTTGGCTTCCGGTTGTCGGTGTGACGACGTAGGCTCCGGTTGTCGGTGTGACGGCAGTCTCTGTCTCTCCTTCTTACGTAGCGAATGCGGAATTTTCTTGTTCTTTCTTCGTCTGGGGATTAGCGTAGCGAATGCCGATCTTTGCATCCTCCACCAATTGTTGTACTGGAGTTGAGGGGGATATTGCTGCAGCTGTCTAGTGAAAATGACGTCTCACTTTCATATTCACCGGAGGGGGTCGACAGACTGCAACGGTAACTCAACTCGAATCGGCATGGAAAGGCTAGGGAAGGATGGCGAAACAAGGATACCATCTTACCGCGTACAACACGTTAGTCCCCTTCAACTCGGGTCAAAACCGAACTTTCCATCCCTTCCCGACCCCAAGGATTTACCATCACCATCAAGCGTAAACGCGATCGGTATCTTGAAAACCGCCTCACATGCGAGCACGGTATACGCATGTTCAGCACATCATATCAGCATATGAGTGCAGTGGGACTGACGTTTTGTTTGTATCACTGTTCCTTGAGTTTTATGAGGACATAAACTTTTCAAGAGGCGTCAAGGGAATTATTGTATTCAGCAAACGGTGGCGACAGGATGCGACGCTTGGCACGTCACACCTAGCGCATAAGACGCTACGCATATAACGCGCTACGACAATGGACGGGCGCGCCTCCCGTATCGCCTTGCGCCGGGGATGGGTGACGCGACGCGCCACACCTACGAGCCAAGGTCCGGCCGATAATGACGAAAAACGGTCGGATTGAAAATGTCGCCGGGCGGTTTTCGGAAACCTATAAATAGACACGGACAAAAGATCATAAGAAGTTATTACACAGAGGAAGAGACGAGAGACAATGTAGTGGAGATAGACGAAGACGAGACACGGGGTCTAGGCTTGGGTGCCTAGGTCGCCGTAGTGTATATATACTTTGTATTGTGTTTACTAATAAAGTCAGTCTTCAAGAACAATTTCTGCGACTACATTGTCTTTACTCTTTGCTACAATCTGCTACCATTTACAACTCTACGATTCTACGATTCAAATACCACAGGATAGCAATGAGCGTTGCGCAATGGCGTAGATATATCGTCGCATCGAGCATTGCAAAAACATTTAAATCCAGCCAGCTACACCGGAAGGTGTGTAAAAAAATGTGTGGAAAACATCGGTGGCCTAAAGAATAGTCGCACAGGCATTTAAAGCAGAAAGACGCGGGAGCAGAAAGCAGCATTCGATTGACAATAAAAGAGATATGATATGCCGATCGACCTAATCAGAAAGCACACCACCTGTAAGACGTCTGATCGCATATCCCCACAATGCCACGTATTTCATTTGCTGTATTTAACGTATGTATACGTTAATCTTAACGTTAATATCGTTAATTAACGTATAAATATGTATTTAAACGTATTTAACGTATTTAATCATTGCGTCATTAAGCTCACGGCGGGCTGCATCTGACAAGGCACTTCTCACTCACTGGGTACTGTCACTCGTTCCTTCTTTCATTATTTCAATAAAGGGAATCTTTCACATTTTGGATGATAGCCCAATAAGATACGATAGATAGCGATAGATAGATCAATATAATGCATCAGTGATGATTGACGTAGTACTGCTGTGCTATAGTTGGTGGAAATATTTGACAATAAATATAGTTTATCAGATTACAATATTAATCCGTCAGTATCGATCGGGCTCGACATCTGGGCAAATAATATAATTTAACTTAATTAGTTAATTTAACTTAAAGTCTAATTTACTGTCTATCGTGTTTCAATAGGAGGAGGAGGGACGGCAGGATGTGTGCTCGCTAACCGTCTGTCTTCGGACCCTAATGTGAAAGTACTGCTAGTGGAGGCCGGTGGGGTGCCTGAGGGTAACAAGGACATAGATAGACCGGCTTCATATGGGGCTCTGAAAAACTCGAAAGTTGACTGGAGCTATTTGACAGTGCCGCAGAAATTCTCCTGCCAGGCCTGCGAGAACAAGGTAGCTTCGACGCGTTTTAGTCCAAGCGCAACATATAATCAAGGATATTATATAATTGTTGGCCTTATTTTGATTGCCATGACATATAATATAACTGAAATCCGAAATGAAACCCCACAAGAAAAATGGGACAGGAAAAAATCACACAGTGGCTTTTTGTTATTTCATCTGGTGCCATTTTAGCAAGCGCTGTGATATTGCATATCCACAATACGTAATACATGCATTAAAAACCGGACAGTTTACCTATTTAATACGGTCGTAAGCGTTATGATATGTTTTATCACAATCAGCAAAGTCTGTGGTCAAGAGGAAAGGTACTTGGAGGCAGCAGCTGCCTAAACGCTATGGCTTATATCCGTGGATCCCCTGAAGATTATAACAAGTGGGAGAAGATGGGAGCATCGGGATGGAGTTATGAAAACGTACTTCCGTACTTTAAAAAGTCCGAGGACATACAGATACCTGATCTAAAGATCTCTAGTACGTTTATATACTTCATTCTAACTGTTGAAAGGAGCGTGCAAATTTAGTGAATTAATAGACGAGTAAGGTTTGGAGTGTAGGTAATAGATAAACTATGAAATGGTAATACATATTATATATATACTAACATATAGTAAATATAATAAAACAATCGATAGAAGGAAAGCATTAGTTTAACTTTACAGGGGAATTACTAAGATAAAAGTTTGTTTGGGGCGATGATAGAGAAATAGTATGGTTTTCGCAGAGTACCACGGCGTTGGAGGACCTCTAACTATCACTCAATCCACCTACACGGAACTTGGGAATTTGTTTCTGGACGCAGCGCGGCAGTTAGGCTATAGAGTTGGCGATATAAATGGAGCAAGCCCCTATGGTAAACACATTATATATATGGTATTCCTATTTAACTCGCGATCTGTATTTCTTATTATTATCAAGTGAAATATTTTTATAACCACGCAATTATAGCTATATTTATAATCATATTTCTTGTAAAACCCTTGTAAATAAAATTTTAGGGGTTATGAAGGCACATGCAAACATCAGAGATGGCACCCGCGCACACACTGCCAAAGTCTACCTGCAACCTGTCGTAGGCAGGCCAAATCTACACGTCATAACTCACGCCCACGTCACCAAGGTAATAATATTTCGACATTACATTAAATACATTCGATCGCGTACTAAAGAATATTTATATAATTTTCGTACTTATAATCTAATTACAATTTCGTAAATAAACATCTTGAAATCAAGGTATTTTAGATTATACAAAACTGATAGTTACTCTATATAGACAGGTACGTGCACTTTCTGCCCATCCTCTCATTTTTCTACCTCTAGTCGTAAGAGAACCATGTATCACCATGAGACATCTATATTATTAGTTTAATTATTGAGGTCTTGCTCTTAATATTGTATTAATCACTAGGTTGTGATAATAGCTAGAAAGAGCCGTAAGTGTTCTTTTTCCGTATCTCCTCCGAAACACGTGCGCGTGTGCTCAGCGAATCGAGTTGGGCCCCTTCTGGGCCGTCGCCGCGAATACATTCCGCTACGTTAATAGAATGCGGTGATTTTTCCATCGTAAAGTAACTTTTTGAGGCATTTTCTAAAAATGTTATGTGCCCGATAGAAACATCGCCTTCATCGCGAAACCCACACCAACTTTTAAGATCGGCCAAATCGCATTGCGGCGTCAAGCCAGTAGTACGCTGTAATCACCTTAATTGACGGTGCTCTCATGGGAAACCGCACACAAATTTTTAAAATCGCAAAATTCCGCATTGCGCCAGTCCAATTCAGAGCATGTGAATCCACCTGCTACCGCCAACGTCCAACGATCACGGCGTGGACGATTTTCATGGCTTTTCAACCTTCATATATTTTTTTGTCTAAACATGATTTACCTTGATTTCTGGTAATTTCCTTGTACATCCAGCATTTGCTCTCAATCAACACATATCACACAGTGCCATGTCAATAAAATACTTACAAAATTACTGTACACGTATTACCAGGGATAGAAATAAGGAACCAGTCCGCCATCCTTAATAATATCAACCCTCATAGCGATGAATCCGACTTAGACGGAGGGCATGCTGCCGGTTTCGTTGTCTTTCGTTCTCCCCTCCCAGGCCCCACACCGCCATCGCTTCGCTCGCCAATTAGACACCTGAAAACAATCGTTCTGCCCGTACATCAATCGGCACTCTGCTTGCACATGACGGACCGTTTTACGCACTAGCCGGCAGGCGCAAGTGGTACTATTCCGTGGGAGCTATCTGTAATTTCACCGCTGTTGACTTTGCTGTCAGTCTACTGTCAGGTACTTGCTTCAAGTATAATTTCATTTTTTACATTTCTTATCCCCCCCATAGTTTTCTCAACGAATTGTCACGATTTCACAAATTGCCCCTGCGACTGTCAATATCCGCGATATTCCGCGGTATCCGACCGAAAAATCTATCCCGGAGTCAGTATGGTATGCGTGCGTGTGCATGCGCGTGCGCGTGTGCGTGTGCAGTGTATGTGCGCAGTGATATCCGATTCAGCCACACAGATCAATCGAATGTGGCCGCGCCCGTGTGTGTAATGTTGTATGTGTTCGTGCGTGGTTGCGCGTGTGATTTGCGTATGCCTATGGCCGTATGTGTTGTGAATGCGCCGTGTGTGCGTGCGTTGCCTCGCGCGTGTGTGCCAATATTTGACAACGGAGGTGTAACTCGTGCTCGCCGCGTACCCGGCTCCAATGCGCTGACATTTTTAGACCGTTTCGACTATTGTCGATGCTTTAAGAGCAACACATACCACACTTATTTATTAACCATAATAACTTTTGAATTGGCCTGTGTTAAACTATTAACGTGTTTGTCTCACGCGGTTTTAATGTAATTGTAGCTATACTAAAATGCTAGATTAAGGTATGATAAATAAGCATTTAATTAGCTCGTGGACCCTTCACCTAGCATAAGCAAGCCACACTAACGCACGAACGCACGCACGCACACCGGCACACGTTTTTTACAACACAAGACAATTTGCGGCTGCGGTCGTGTATAACAGCCAATTCACTGCGGGCCACAGTCTCGCCGGTTGTGAGATTAAAAATTTAAGACAACTCTCAACTGAGTACGCGCCTGCAGTTGTATGTGTGTTGTATGTGTTGATGTATGTGTGTGTCGTGGGTGTTGGCTGTGTGCGTGTAAGTATGCTGCGTGATGCGGTGCGTGTGCGTGTGCGTGGTTGTGGCAGGCTGACTTGTGTGCTATGTTATGTATGTTATGCTGATGTGTGCATGTGCGGTGCGTGTGGCTGTGTGTGTGTAAATTGGTATGTGTGTGCGTGAGTCTGTGCGCGTGTGATTGTGCCTGCGCATTGCCCGTGTGTGTGTGATGCGGTCACTGGTGTGCAGTGTGCCGTTGCGCGCGAACCACACCGCTACCCCACCTTCGCGGCGTGTGTGCAAATATTTGACAACGGAGGTGTAACCCTGCCCCCGCGTCCAATCTGCTTCAAGAAACATATATCTTCAAAACTACTCAATGCATTTTGCTTCTTTTTTTTTTTAATTTGACTTATTAATTAATGTCTTTCGTACCAGATGATATTTTCAAAAATAAAAATTGGTTTTAAACCGCCTTCTCAAATTCCATTACCCATAATCAAACCCGTCTGTGAGGACGGCGGTAATAGTAGTATATTATATATATATAAACTTTTATTAATGTGATTTATCAATTTTATTCTGACCAAATATGGATAAAGTAGTACTTTTCACACGAATTCTTTTATTTAAAATCGTACAACATTGATTAGAAATTAACTCACGACACACGCACGCACGCACGCCACGCCACGCACGCCACGCACGCGCGCACACGCTGCGCACGCGCCACGCGCACACGCACACGCACACGCACACGCACACGCCGCACAACGCACACGCACACGCACACGGCACACGCCACCGCACCACGCACACGACACGCACACGCACACGCACACACACACACACACACACACACACACACACACTAATTAGGTCACAAAGCTGGGAAGATTTCAGACTATCTATCTATTCATAGCTTACTCTTGGACGCTCTTTATATCGCCATTCAAATACTACTCGTTTCAAAAGAAAACATTTTCAAGCTAGAGCACTCGCCGAGGGCACAGCACCTAACCGCCCAAGGCAGCTTAATTCTCTCAATGTGAAATTGTTATTAACTTAATTAATTAATTAAGTGGGGAAAGGAAATTAATTACATTAATTAATTGGATCACCACCAAAATTGTACTCAGTTATATCGGTACTCCCTATTTCTGACCTATTCCTGAAAATTTTAATAATTAATTAAATTTAGTTACATTAATTAATTCGGATTTCCCGTGATCACCACAAAATGTAATCAATACTAAAGTTACCTATTTCGCGACCTATCCTGAAAATGTTCATTAATTAATGAATGAATTACATGAATGAATTGGATCGGATCACACTAAAATCTCATCAATCTCTAAGTTCAGCCCATTTCTGACGTACCCTAGAATATTACTATGACAATCCGCTCCATAACTTTTTCAGTTAGACTTAACCTGTATGATACAGGCGGTTTTCCGGCGCGGCCGGCGGGGCGGTGGCGGGCCAATCAGCCATATCAGCGCTGCAGTGCCACAAACCCAGCAAAACAACGCACTCAAACACACGTGCCGTGTGAAAACATACCTCCGCCAAGCCCTGGCGGATGGTAATCAGTTCTGCACCCACGTATCAGTCAGTCCGCCTTCTGCAGCGATCATGAATGACGGGCGCATGCGTGTTTCCTGCCACGATTTCCGGCATTGATTAGAGGCCATCACGCACCCTCAGTTCCTTCTACTCCACGCACCCTGAAACACACGAGTGTGGTGGACCCTCACACACTGGGCCACGCAGTCACATGGTGGCTAACCATTTCTTTGATGACATTGAAAATAGCTTATGGTATACGCCTTCCGGACGCTTAGGATAACGCCTGCCGTAAAATTTCCATAGATGTTCCTCACTACCTCAGGTGGGCATGCAACGGACGGCAGACGGATCGTGTCTGGCGCCCCATCTTACAGGTTCCCGCTGTAGGTAAAGAGTGCGTGGCATATACTTGCGTGCAACACACTCCACGGTATTTTATTCCCCTGCGTGCTGATGCCCAACGATATAATGAGATGTTAAAGCTACTTAAGGGGCCCACATATATACAAGTTCCGGTTCTCTATTTTCACCGTGTTCAATTGACTTCTCATTTTTTATTAGCGATGTTCAGAATGACAAAAGAAGCTAGCACTGACCACGGTCTGTAAACAAAATCAGACATTGCGTATGCATCGTAGTGACGCCTACTGCCCCGAACGGGATCCTCGGTAAACCAAAATTCAGACATTCGCGTATGATGTCATATGAAACAATACTATCGGTATCGTGTGTTGCGAGAATCAGCTGTGATACTATGTAATAATATGATTCACAATAAGTGGCCAGGCCAATTACCTTGCGCTTACGAGACATGCGTTGTGCATCCTGGCCACATGCCCAGTTATTGTCGGACTTCATCTTTTGCCCCGAATAGCTTGAATGCTTTCGTCTCTGATATCTTTATAGCTAGCCTGATCCCTGTTAAAGTATATTAATGATTAAGAATGTCACACTGTGTTGTGTGTGCTGTGTGTGTGTGTGTTGTTGTGGTCGTGTTTGGGCTGTGTGGTGTGTCTGGCTGTCTGTTTGTGGTGTGTTGTGTTGTGTGTGTGTCTCTCTGTGTGTGCGCTGTGGTGTGTGCTGTCGTGATGTGTGTGTGTCGGTGGTGTGGTAACCGTGTGTGTGTATGTACTGTATGTGTCGTGTGGTGTGTGTGTGTGTGGTGTGTGTGTGCTGCCTGTGGGGCCCGGTGTTTGTGTTGTGTGTGTGTGTGTGTATGTGTGGCCTGTGTTGTGTGTTGTGTGTGTGTGTGTGTGTGTGTGTGTGTGTGTTGCAATGTGTGTGGTGTCACGACTGTGCTGTCGGTGTAGTGGCCCGGGCGTGTGTCTTGTGTGTGTGTGTGTGTGCCTCGGTGTTGCATGTGATGTTGTGTGTGTGTTGTGTGTGCGCGCCTGTGCGCGCGCATGCGATTTTTCATCTATTAATACATAATTAATCAGGTGCCAAATATTACTCTTCCACCATTAAGTTTTAACGTCTTGTTCGTTCTTCGTTAATTAACGCTGGATCTATGATGCGATAATCCAAAGGTCGTTGGTTCTCAGAGCGAATTGTCACCGACACTTTTAGTTGCAACAAGTTGGTACAACGAGAAAAGATGCGCGATCCTCTTGGGCGCGTAGTTGGCGTTCCTGATGAACTTAGCAGTGAAAAAAACAAACTATACATATAACATTGAATAGTTGTAAACATTATCGTACTTGCGTCTTAGGATGACAGTCGCATGATCATGAAATGAGATCAATTTACAGAGACGATCGAGATATCATGAATTCCAGTATATATTCCAGGTAAACGATGTTCGCAAGCAAACTAAGTACGAGCGCGCGAAAAGCACGTCACTAATAGAGAATATTATATATATATGTGTGTATGTGACGAACCTTTTTGTCATATCTTAGCTGGTTATATATAAAATTTTTATCAAACGATCCAATTCCAGAGCTGGTCATGAAAAATGCCATATCTGGTGGCACGCCTTCACCCAGGCAGCCGATAAAAAGCAATTTTGGCCTCACGCTCGTTTGTGGATAGAGGGCCTGCAACAACGCTCACTGCATCATATTGTTATATATGGTAGCGGCCTCAACGATCAGCGCCCGTGTAACATGGTAGGCCCCTACATACATACACACTCACGCACACACGCACGCACGCATGCACGCACGCACGCACACACATACATACCCCCATAAAAATCACCTCGTCTACATTGCGTATGTTCATGGGTATGGAAATAATTTATTATATATATATATATATAATTATTATATAATATTATATATATATATAGCAGAGCGCTCGTAACAGAGACCCTAACAGTGACTCGTATTTTACTTTTCTTGCCCATGCGCAATGTAGAGGGGGATAGATGTTTGCTATACGGGGACGTATAGAATGCCACACTGGCCGTACTTTGTAGTATGCCGGCCGGGTTTACGTAACATGGTCACGGATTCCGAGCGCGCTCGCGGCCTACCAAATGGTACGCATCATGCTATATTATTATATATATATATATATATATATATATATATATATGTTATACAATTATACAGTGTATGTACATGTCACCGTTCACACTATTATTCAATTATACGATATGCTACGCTTCACTATTAGTATAGTTCTGGGTGGCTGCCTTTTTAAACAGTCTACCATCGTTAAACTGCGACAGTTTGTGATGTGTATTCAATGTATTGTAATGTAAATGTAATGTATTATTTACCTTGTCCCAGCAAATCCCATTTAACCCTGGTCGCAAAGCTCAGCATGTCGGATTTTATCATTGAAATGTTTTTATCGATGAAGAATTCTGGGTAGAAGGTGACAATATGATCCTGTAAGTGTTTTCCAACTGGAAGGTCTGCGACTAGTGGTATCTGCAAACAACACAAAGGTCATGTCGTCCAGATTATGTGGACGGTAGGCATAGCATAATCATACTTATATATATATATATATATATATATATATATATATACGAGCAGAGAGACTGAGAGCAGGAGAGAGAGGATAGAGAACGAGAGAGAGAGAGAGAGAGACGAGACGAGACGATGTAGAGAGAGAGAAAGACGAGAGAGAATAAAGAGAGAGAGAGAGAAAAGAGATGAGAGACGACATCTTCGAGAGGAGAGGATGAGGCGAGATGAGAGAAGAGAGAGAGAGAGACGAGGAGAGAGAGAGAGAGAGAGGAGAGAGATCACGTCCCAACATCCCATGTTAAACCAGCACCGAATTGGTTTATAATGAATTTCATACAACAATCCTTCAGTACTGTGTAAATGCGTAATGATGATATTTTAACTTTTTTTTTCCATTGATGGTTGAGTTGTCTTTTGCGACCAACGCCAGACAAGAGGAGGATGTGAGGCAGAGCGATTAGCTTCCAGCATGAGAGCGATTCACTTCCCGAGACGCTCTCGCTGATGTCTTCTCGCACCACTGATATAAACTTGCAAAGCCTACCGCCCTCTTGCCCATCGCAACATCACCTCA